CGATTGATATATAGCTTCCCTAGGTCCTAGCCTCCCTACTAAGGTTTCAGCAGTATGGTCCCTAGGGCCCTAGCCCAGTTTAGAAAAATCCCTATTCGGCTGAGGAGAAGCTACTTGGTTCGAAACCACTGCCAAAAGATAGATCTCGGCGAGTTCTTTCCATTGGTGTGTAGCTTCACCTAAGTCCTAGCCTCCCTAGAAAAATTTTGGCAGCATAGCCCCAGAGGGCCCTAGCCCAGCAATCAAAGATCCTGATGGGGCTGAGGAGAAGCTATGGAGTGCGAAAACCACTGCCAAAAGATAGGTCTCGCTGAGAGCTATCCATTGGTATATAGCTTTCCTATGCTTTGGCATCCCTAAGGAAACTATGGCCGAAAGGCCCCTAAGTGCCCTAGCATAGTAAACATAAAGCTAAAATCTGGCCTAAACATGAAGCTAATTAATAAAAAAAAATAAAAAAAAAAAATAAAACAATAAAAAATCTTCATTAACAAAATAAATGTCACATAGGCCACTACTCCTTCTGAGTCCGACATAAAATTCAGCGCACAGTTTGAGGTAATACAGAAACCACACATCAGCTCAGCTGTTATACATAATGAACAATTGAATTAAGTCATTTGTTGCGCAGTTATCTAGCAAAAGTAGCAAGCACATAATGCTCCCGGAAAGTATTTACGAAGTACATGACGTGCAGTATTGGTGGATAAGTAATTGGCATCCAATAAAATCAGTAACCACTGCTTGTCATGCAGATCAAGCTGACCTAAACACTTAACAATCAACTTGCTGATTTAGAGCCAAGCTCACAGACTATGAAGCTGGATTGACCCAGCTTATACAACCGAATGGATTCGGTTAGTAGTTTGTATCGTGTTGCACTGTAGTTTTACCTTCTTAGTACCATTCATAGTGTCAAGCAGACCAAATCTTGTGATCTGTACATGTTGGGCTTTAAGAGAAAACTGTACAACTTTCAAATAATGATGCAATTCATCAGCTAAAACTCAGATAGGTCGCAGTTTCAAAACATATTACACTTCGATCTACGACCCAACCAGTTGATATCCAAACATATCTTCACGTATCAAGAGTGGTGCATAAACTCGCACAGATATTTACCGGGTCACTGAGTTGCAGTATTGTTTTTCATTAATTAGCATCAGAGTACACGTGGTTACTAGGTTTCACTATCATAATCTAATCATTACCCCAATAATGCTCTAAGACATTACACTAAGCAGAAATCTAGTAAACACAGTGAAGATTCCCACTAGAAATAACAGGTTAAATAACTAAATAAAACCAAACCAAACTCACTTGATGGAAATGGCTTCAGCAAACTTGAGGAGAATTGAGCTCGTTTGCCTATTGATAATTTTGAACGACTTTTCGACGTCCACCTCATGACCCGTGTCGACGAGATGCCTGGCAATGGCACTGTTTAAAGCATTTGTGGATGAATTCGCCGAAAAGAGTCTCTTCGCTGAACGCCTTCTTTTATTTTATATGACTGAATGAGGATTTTCAAGTTACGATTGATTTTTGTTTAAAATGAACTCCGTGCAAGTATGTTAAAATTGTTCCTGTAGATATGCTTAATAATGTCTTTGGCCTGTAAGCAGATGACGAGAAGGCAACAAAATAAGCACAGATGGTACCATTTTATTCTGCTAAAACTGTAGTTCTTGCTTTGTTCAAATTCATTAAGGGGAATAAATGTATGAAATTAGTGATTAGTGGTCATAATTATGCTGTTGGTTCTGGTGGCGATACTGATGATATGACGAAGTGGAGAGTTGTAACAGTTTGAAAATCAATAATGATTCTTATGAACGTGAAGTGTCCTCTACGAACTCCTGTTGAAATTCACGTCAAATATTCAATGGTTGGTTCACTGAACCGATGTCAGCTCATGATGAAATCCTGTAACCAATCAATCGAATCCCTACAGATCAATACTTGAATGAAACGACTCACCATCAGACCCAGTACTTGGAGTTTTTGTGTGTGTGAAAACTCGAAGGAACATACTTCAGTACACAAAAGCTGACTTGGAATGAACAACTCACTAACTTTCATTAGGGTAGGTGTTATTATACACAAAAACAGCGAAACTTCATCTGTTCATCGAGCCACAGAATCCGCAGAATCGACACTGTGGAAGAGGAGGTGAACACTGTGAAAGGAATTCTTCTTGAAAATGGATACCCCGGAGGTTTCATCAGAAAAGTCATGAAACCTAAACCATTAAAGATGCTCACACTTTCTGTTCCTCAAAAAACTTCTCTACCTGCTCTTCTAGGTAGAGCTAAATATTTCGGCCATACTCTGCGTTTGCGATCTAAACGTATCCTTGAGCACTTACTCTCATGGTTTCATAAGGGAAGAAAATGAGTCCCCCACCCCAGCTGGATTCTAGAATAATCGATAGAATCTGGACACCAAGTTAACCCACAAATCAACTTCAAAGTCGTCTATGGAATATGGTGGAACCTTGTTAAAAAAGTATGAATCACAACTTCTTCAAACGGTAGAAGCAATGGCAATTCACGTATTGAATCTTGAACTTTGAATACAAAAGAAGTTTGTCCAGTCACTAAATCTACAATGGACCTGATCTATCTGAAGCACTGGATACGTAGTTTCTGGTTTTTTGTTGTTTTTAATTGCCTTATTTCCTTCCCTCACCCCCGATGAAATTCCTTCCCCTTATCACCTTACCCCCAGTGTTGTTAACTAGACTCTCGTCCAAATTTTTGTTAAATTCCATTCAACCCCGTCAAGTTTATTACGTCACTCAACTTACTTATTGAATTTTATCTTAGTTTCTACCCGATTACCGTCTTTTATATCACGTAATTTTATTATCTAATCCTTACTATTCTAATGGTCCACCTTTTTGTTCATTCATTTTTGTGTATTCAGAATTATATTCCAGGTTGTTGACAGTTGTACTGAGTCACCTTTGTCACATGTATCTGGTGTGACCTTAATGAAGATTCTGTTATGTCTCTCTTTCCATTTGTTCATACGTTGTTCCAATCGATATTGTGGTTTTTATCCCATGCTGCATGTGCAACTATAGTTGAATTTTTTTCTAAATTCTTGTAAGCTTGTGTTCCTTTTGATTGACCTTTAGTTGGGCAGGCGTTTATGTTCATTCACTCTTATTTTGAGTGATCTGTACACTTGACCGACATATTTAGTCGGGCACTCGGCACAAAATATTTTGTAAATGACATTACTGCTTTTATCCTTCATTTTTCAGGGGTTCTTTCAGTTGATTTATTTTATTTTTAATTAGATTCGTCGGTTTAAACGTTGTGCGAATCTCAATATTTTTGAGGTTTCTTCGAATTGCTATAAGTATAAAACTTGGGCACTGTGGTAGAGTGTAACTCCATTATGGATAAGATTTTATTTTGATAAATCACACAGTGTTATACAGTAATATTAACTGATGAGCACAAACTATTGCTCATAATCATATCAAGTCACTCACACAACTTCTTATTTCATTTATATAAAAATCAATATGAGATAATGTACATTCAGAAATAATAATACGAGTGTTATTGGTCAATTACAATCACATGGGAAATAAGACGAGTGTTTTTTTAGTCATAATAAGCAACTTGTTAGGATGTTGTGATGTGCTTGAATTGAATTGAAATAGAATTTTACGATTATTTACTATCCTCCTCTGATTTGACTGACTGGTGGTAATAATATCTTCCATGCATATCTCTGGTATTTGCATTGAGTCATTTCTGTTGCATGTGTTGTGTTGGGTGTAGACTCGATGAACCAGGAAGGATTCAGTAATCAATCTCTCTCTCCACCCACATACCTAGATTACTTCTTAGAATCTTAACCCACCTAAACTCTATTGTGTGGTTGTGTGTTAATGCATGCAGTGTAAATTACTTATCTTGGCGAGTGGGGTCAACCGTTCTTACCTTAGCTAAATTCTTATGTTCCGACAATCTGATTACCCCCGATCTACTAGTCTGACCTATGTAGTTGACCTCACTCACAGTCATTGCAAGGTATTCTTAAAATTATATTATTTTGTTTAATTGGGTCCACCAGTTCCTTTAGCCTACAGAGCTGGTCCTACCTGAGTGAGTTTGTAGGTTTGAATGCCACCCTAATTCCTGCTTTATTAGGAATCCTACGTAGGGTCTCAGATGTTCCCTTCCTCCTAATATGGTATAACAGTAGATGCCTTATATTCTCTCTTATTTATGTTATCATTACTATTTTCACAATTATTTTTAATTTGCTTTTGGTCTTTTTCGATCTTCCTAATGAATTTTATAGGATAGTTATTTAACACCAACGCTTCTTCTTCTATCTGTTTCATTTCATCATTTAGGTCTTTTCTTGTACTACTTAGTGCTACTGCTCGGTTTTTTAGACACTTAACTAAGCCTGCCTTCACAGATAACGATGGATGAGACGAATTAAAGTCTGAATATCTATTAGCAGAATGCGTTGGCCTTTTATAAACGCTAGTGTTTAGTTTACCCTCTTCTATTCGTTTTATTTTACAATCTAACATAGCTAATTCTCTTCGAATTGCCTCTGATGTACCATTTTTGTATGGTATCATGACTGTTTTATTTTTGCTTTCCTCTGTCTCGTCATTCTCCGGTTTTATCTTCTTTTTTATATTATCTCTGATAAATTCTTTTGGGTAGTTGTTGTCGAGTAACATTTTGAATAGGACGTTTATTTCTTTACCCTGGTCTTCTGGTGTTGTTGTAAGTCTACGTATTCTATGCGCAAGATCTTGTATTACTCCTCGTTTTACCGTGAGTGGATGAACTGAGTGATATGATAATCAAGGAGTCTTCCAGAGTGTGTAGTTTTTCTATATATATACAGCGTCGTTTTAACCTAATAAAGTTATCGAGAAATCCCTCACTGTCTCTCTCTCTCGCTTGCTCTCCACATATGACATAATTGACTTTCTGTTTCTTTTCCATTTTCAGATGTACCACATAATCGTTTACCATCATCCCGGTTACCCCCTGCTTCAATGTTATCATCACAAGGTGTTTCCTCGGCTCCGCTGTCTTCTCATTCTGACGAGAATAGTAAACAATGCGATCCTATTAACAATAACAATAATAATGTGACCCCTGCAAAAACTAATGTATGCATAAATAATCAGCCAACTGGACCGCCAGTACTCCAACAACATCAACAGCAACACCATCAAGATCAACAAATTTCTGTTATCCATGATGGATCAGAGAATTTATCTGAGTTATCTGAAAATTCATTGAAAGCTTTACAACTACTGTTAGAAGCTGTCAAAAGTACAATGTTGAATTTCTCGTCTACGGGTGGTGGTACCATTTCCAGCTATTTGTCTACAGCTTCGCTGGCAACATTCTCATCAACGTTAATACCACAATCGGCATATTTCTATCATAAAAAAGGACAACATTTCCTGTCTACTAATGGTAGTACTGTTAGTAGTACTACTTCGTCGACTACTACCACTACTACGACTAATGCTAATAATAACAATACTAATAGTATTAGTAATAATAACAATAATAATATTAACAGTCATAATAATAACAGTACTGATGATCAAAATTTGTACGGTGTACATTTGAATAATTATAATAACTTGTATCATAAACACGCGGTACCTAAACGCATAGGTAAGAAAGACTCTTTTGTTATTCATGCCTTTTATGTATGTATGTGTGTGTATATTATTATTGTTTCCTTTAATTCCTAGAGGAACATAGGGCTTCAGCCGTGCGTCTCCATTGCGTTCGGTTCTCTGCTAGAGTTTTCACCTGGCTCCAACCAAGTCTGCCCACACGCTTTCATCTCCTCTTCACATGACCTCCTCCAAGTCACCCTTGCACTGACGACCAACTCGCCGCTTCCCTTTCGGGTTCCACTCGAGCAATGGCTTGTCTAGTGATGTCACTTGATGGTTTCCTCAGAGTATGGCCAATCCAATTCACCTCATTTCTTCCTGCTTATTTGTTGCACAATCGGTTCCTGTGGGTTGGTTCGCTCCCAGAGATCTCTGTTACGGATCTTTTCTGGCCGGCTATCTGATCTTGAGTGGTATTGAGCGAAGACAGCTGTTGATGAAGGTCTGTAGTTTGTTTGAGATGCTCTTTATGACGCGCTGGCCAAGTCTCTGATCCGTATAGTAAGTAGCACTGACTGACTTCACATTGGAGTTGAAAATCTAGATCTTATTTTTGATGCTGAGTGCTGTTGACCTCCACACAGACTTGAGAGTAGTGAAAGCTTGTCTTGCTTTCCCGATCCTTGCTTTGATATCCTTGTCAGTTCCGCCAGCCTGTAGTTAAAACGATGCTTCCCAGGTAGGTATGTATGTGTGTATTTACTTTAATTGATTTCTAGGCAGTTATCTATGTTATGCTTCCTGATCCTTTTACAATTCTGTAGTGTTGGTCACCATGCTCTATGAATGACTTAGATATGATGGAGAAGATTTGTAGCTCAAGTGGATGATTTTTGATGTAGTTGTGTGTCTCTGAGCTAGCTACCTAGCTGGATGGTGGTTTATTTGCGAAGCTTTCATTGCCCCCTACCCCTATACTAGGCGCACATCTTCAGCGCGCATACTTCAATTTGAATTGAAGTGAGCTTTAAGATTTCTCCACGAGTTTATTAGTCATCTCTCTCCTAGTGGGTGACCTTGAACGTGACTCTTTGCTAGTTGTTTTTATATGTTTTCACACCCTCTAGGCTATACTTGTATTGGGACTGACTGCTGCAGCACTTCCTTCCACCTTAAGGAAAATTGAAGAAAGATATCTCATGGACGTCTTCCAAAAGAATGCATATCCACGGAATTTCATCAAAACACATATACCCCCAAAGCCAACCTATCAAATCAAAGGCCCACAAGGAAAGCACGAAGAAAATCGCCCTGCCATGTATAAAGGACATCTCAAAAATCACTGCAATACTCTTCAAACCTTTAGGAGTTGACGTCTCACACAAACCAACAAAATCACTTCACTCAGCTGGCTCCATGTCAACCAAAAGACTCAACAACGAAAGAAAATAAAACCAACATCATCTACAAAATAAATTGTAACAACTGAGAAAAACACTACATTGGCCAAAGTGGACTACCCTCCTCTTCGTCTTCGTATCCATGAACATAAACTAGCTGTCAAAAGACATGACATCCACTCCCTCGCTCATATCACTACATACAAACAACCACGGGCATCAATTCGATTGGACCAGCGTTCAAATATTAAACAGAGGAAACACCAAAAATGCTAGAGAATTTTTAGAAGCCAGCCTGATATTCCAGTGAATCTTCAATCAATAGACACATCGAGATAGACAAAATTTACCATTGGATAAGAAGGAAATCTCACACACAAATAGTCAAAGTTCAAGTCGAGGAAACAATCAACACCAATACCAATACAAGTAGGCCTAGAGGTTGTGAAAACACTCAGAAACAACCAAAGAGTCACGTTCAAGTTCACCCATCAGGAGAGATGACTAATAAACTCGTGGAGAAATCTTAAAGCTCACTTCAATTCAAATTGAAGTATGCACGCTGAAGATGTGCGCCTAGTAGGGGTAGGTGGCAATGAAAGCTTCGCAAATAAACCAACATCCAACTAGCTGGCTAGCTCAGAGAACACAACCACATCAAAATAGAGTCTTTTTATTGATCCAACCTGTCCGTGTCTTCGCGCTCCCCTCATATGGTGTTCCACACAATCCAGTCTACGACAATTGAGAATATTTGTCACCCTCGCTCGCACCGACGACTCACTCGATAAAATAGGTAGTTTTGTGCATAAGTCTAAGCGCATAGCTACTGGATTACTCACACACACACACACAAAGTTAGATATTTTTTACACATTGGTAAATGTTTTGTCTGTTTTGTCTGTACATTTCACAGATTCATTTGAAGAAAGTATAGTTTTCTATTGTATTGTATTTTGTTATTTTATGATTTATTATTGTTCCCTTGGGTTCCTAGTGGAACATAGGACTTCAACTACACGTCTCCACTTGCTTTTCTATTCTGCTGTACTTTTCACTTGCATCCATGTTAGTCCTTACTGTTTCAACCCCTCTCCACACGATCTCCTCCATGTCACCCTTGTATGTCCCACTCGCCGCTTCCCTTTCGGGTTCCACTCGAGCACTGGCCTGGCGCGCGATGTCACCCAGCGGCCTCCTCAGCCAGTGGGTGTCCAATCCATCTCCACTTTCTCCTGCATATTTGTTGAGCGATTGGTTCTTGTTTTGTTTGTTCTCATAGTTTCTTGTTTGTGATTCTTTCTGGCCGGCCATCTGATCTTCAGTATAGAGCCAGCGAAGACAGTTGTTGATAAAGGTCCGCAACAGGCTGTTGGAAATATTCTTTGTGACACACTGGCCAAGTTTCTGATCCGTATAGAAGAACTGACTTGGTTGACGTTTGTATTGAAAATCCGAATCATTTTGTTGTTGATGCTGAGTGACAAAGATTTCCAGATTGGTTTCAGGTTGATGAATGTGTTTCTGGCCTTCCCGATTCTCGATTTGACATCCTCGTCCGTTCCTCCTGTAGTTGAGACAATGCTCCCTACCTAGATAAGTGAATGAAGTAACCTCTTTCAAATCCCTCCCGTTGATGGTGATTGGCTCTGGATGTTGCTGCTGCTACAAAAAAAATTGTATTTTGTTATAAACGTCAATTCACTTATTAAACTTCTAAGGTTATTCTGTCAGTGTGAATATGAATTCTTTTTTTTTAAGTAGTAGTTTAATGCAGTAATTTTTCTGTCTTTTTTTGAAGAATATCTTTTAATTCTTCATTACTGGTTTTATAAATCACATAACAGAAAAGGTTTCTTTATTGTTTGTGTTGTTAAATTACTATTACTACTATTAATAATCATCATAGTAGTAATATCAGTAGGTGTGAAGCATCGATGTTGTTTCTACACACACAGCTGGACGCCGTGTACTTCTATGCTTCGCTTTGCTTTACTTTGCTTTGTTATTCTTATGTATAATGAAAATACCATTCACAGTGATAGTAGTCTAATTCTGTCGAAATAATTTTTACAGTATGCAGAAAAAATGATGACAAAAACAACAACAACAACAGCATATGAGAGAATAACAAAGTAATAATTAAGTTTTAAGAAATTTAATAAGAAAGATAAAAATGATGGCTATTTTGGCTTATTTATAAGCAGTCGACTTGTAGCTGAGAGAGAGAGAGACGATATGGTCTAATTCAAAGTGGAAGATGTGAAAAGGCGTGGTTGTGTTTTTGTACACCACAGTTTTAAGTGGTGTAATAGGGTGAGTAATGTTTGAATTGGTTAGACGTCCAGTGTTAGATAAGTTTGTGATGACATATCGATTCACTGAGATGGTTAGGGCATGTGTGCTATGTGCATGCGTAGGCATTGCCTTCCTCGACAATGGGCAATGTTAGCTGACTGACATAGGGTCAGGTTGGTAGTCAAACCAAAACATGGCTTCATCAGTCAATGAAATCCATAACAGTTAGTTTAAGCTAATCACGTAGGACGGTGTAGACTTCCTAGATGGCTGGTTGGTGTCATCGGGACGGTAAACACCAATGGAGGCTGGGGACAATTGGTGATATGGCTGGCTCAAAATCGTTCCCAATGGCTGGCGCAGATGCATCCACTCCTTGTGACTATATTGTTCTTCGATATTACTATTCTTTTCGCTTCATATCTTTGTTTACTGGCTCTGTTTTGAATTTCTTCTACTTTCTTCCCTTGCTTTATGTGCTACGTGAAGTGGAGTGTGGCAACTCGAACTGTTTGAAAACAGAAGAAAGTGGAGATGTGTTGTTGAAGCCCTATATTCCACTCGGAATGCAAGGGAGTAATAATAATAATGTCATAGATAAATTTCCCAGTGTTAAAGGGGTAACTATGTTTAGTATTATTAGACAAGGGGTTCAGCTGTGTCTTTTGGTAACAACAAACATTGACTGGAGATAAAATACAAGATCGAACAACAGAGTGAGTTTATACATAATATGATAGGGATTTCCATAGGATGGGAGTGAATAGTAACATTGAGTTCAACTCAGTAAGTGAAAATCAAAACTAAGTAGGATGTTACGCAATAGAACAAAACCTTCAAAGTACACCAACAAAACAATTACGGATTACTAGGGTAATGAGAGAGATGAGTCACACTGTCTTTCTGTATGCAAAAGTTGGCTCGAAGTCTTTTGATAGCTATGATATCTGTGTACTGACGTCTTAGCTAAGGTCTTCTTTGTGTATTGATTATTCTGAAATTCTGACTAATTAATACTGTATATCCCGTGTTAGTTAGGTGTTCAGCAATTCCGCTTGAGAACACCTTTCTGCCTTTCATACGAAAACTTTAAGACATATGTCGAGGAGATCTAATAGACACTGTCTCCTCACTTGTTCCTGTGTACTTCCACAAGTGCAAGTGAGCTGGTAAATAATTAAATAATAATAATTATAATCTACTTTATTCCAAAAACAGTCCTTACAATACAGAATGGAATTCTCAGTATTTGTCACAATATTGCATCTGATTTACTTAAAATATAAGTAAAATTAAAAATTAAGACAAAACTAACCAGAGGAATTTGTCCACAATTACGACATAATTATTGGAT